GTGGTGGGAAACTGCTTCCCTTTCCTGAGGCGCCGGATGGTTTGCCAGAATTTCTTCGAGGCCGACCGATAGTCCTCCTCCATGGCCTCCCCGAACTTTTCCCCGACTCGAGTTTTTGCTTCCGCGACTGCCCGAGCTGCAGTCCGCTTGGCCTGCCTGTACTTTTCGGCTGCTTCAGGAGTCCTACGAACCAACCAGGCTCGATAGGACTCCTTCTTGAGGTTGACTACTTCCCTTACTTCCGGTGTCCACCACCGGGTTCGGGGATTGCCGCCACGACAGGCACCGGAGACCTTACGTCCGCAGCTTCGGACAGCCGCATCAACAATGGAAGTGGAGAACATAGTCCACTCAGACTCAATGTCTCCAGCCTCCCTCGGGACCTGTTCAAAACTCTCCCGGAGGTGGGAGTTGAAGGCCCCCCTCACCGGGGATTCTGCCAGACGTTCCCAACAGACCCTCACGATACGTTTGGGTCTGCCAGGTCTATCCAGCTTTGCCCCTCGTAAGCGGAGCCAACTCACCACCAGGTGGTGATCAGTTGAGAGCTCAGCCCCTCTCTTCACCCGAGTGTCCAATACATACGGCCGGATGTCAGATGACACGACTACAAAGTCGATCATTGACCTCCGGCCTAGGGTGTCCTGGTGCCAAGTGCACTGGTGGACACCTTTATGCTTGAACATGGTGTTTGTTATGGACAAACTGTGACTAGCACAGAAGTCCAATAACAAAACACCACTCGGATTTAGATCGGGGAGGCCGTTCTTCCCAATCACGCCCCTCCAGGTGTCACTGTCGTTGCCCACGTGGGCGTTGAAGTCCCCCAACAGGACGATGGAATCCCCGGGAGGAGCACTGTCCAGTACTCCTCTCAGTGTCAGCAAGAAGGCCGGGTATTCTGCACTGCTGTTCGGCCCGTAGGCCGAAACTACAGTGAGGCACCTGTCCCTGACCCGAAGGCGCAGGGAAGCGACCCTCTCCCTCAGTGGGGAGAACTCCAACACACGACTGGCAAGCTGGGGGGCTATAAGTAAGCCTACGCCAGCACGCCGTCTCTCACCGCGGGCAACTCCAGAGTAGAAAAGGGTCCAGCCTCTCTCAAGGAGTTGGGTCCCAGAGTCCAAGCTGTGTGTGGAGGTGAGCCCGACTATATCTAGTCGGTATCTCTCAACCTCCTGCACGAGCTCAGGCTCCTTTCCCCCCAGCGAGGTGACATTCCATGTCCCCATAGCTAGAGTGGTTGTCCAGGGATTGGGCCGTCGTGGTCTCCGCCCACAACCGGCACCCAAATCACAAGGCACCGGCCCCTTGTGGGCCTTCCTGCGGGTGGTGGGCCCACTGGAAAGCGGACTCACGTCGCTTGTTCGGGCTGAGCCCGGCCGAGTCCCGTGAGCAAGGACCCGGCCACCAGGCGCTCGCCTGCGAGCCCCAACCCCGGGCCTGGCTCCAGAGTGGGGCCCCGGTGACGCCAATCCGGGCGACGTGAACCTCTTTGATTTAATTATTTTCTTCATCACAAAGGGGGGGGTTGAACCGCTATTTGTCTGATCCGTCGCCTAGGACCTGTTTGCCTTGGGAGACCCTACCAGGGGCGTTAAGCCCCCGACAACATAGCTCCTAGGTTCATTCGGATACTCAAACCCCTCCACCACGTTAAGGTTGCGATTCAAGGAGAGGATATACATATATATACATACATATATATATATATACATATATATACATGCTATGTATATAGCTGTAGTCCTGAATGTGCTGTAAACAGAAGCTTACAGTAGGAAATTTCCTGAGTTTTTAAATGACACATTTGGTTCAGGGCTCTTACATTATCTGCATGTTAAGAGAACAATGCCAATTGACATTTACAACAACGATTCCCAGAAAAGATGAAACATTCCGTTTAGAGGTGAAAAAACAAACAAACAAACAAAAAAAACCTGAAGGACCTGTTAGGACTTGAACATTAATTTAACAGACAAAGGAACAGAAAGTCTTGTAACGCCAGCCAAGAAATTGTATTGTGTTTGTGCGTGACTGGTCAGCCTGTGTTTTGAAGTTTTCTCCTACCTATAGTTTTTTCCTTCCCGTAGCGTAAATTTAGAGACATATCTGACATTTGTGTTCAGGGTGGTACAACATTATTATACACATCAAATCTTAATAAATACGTGTTTCTGACTCTGTTTAGAGTGGTAGCACATATTACTGTAGGCATGAAATCGCTATAATTACGTGCTTCTCAGTCTATTCAAAGTGGTAGCACATTACTAAAGGTATGAAATCGCTATAAATACGTGCTTCTCAGTGTATTCAGAGTGGTAGCACATAACTATAGGTATGAAATTGCTATAAACACGTGCTTCTGACTATTCAGAGTGGTAGCACATTACTATAGGCATTAAATCGCTATAAATATGTGCTTCTGACTCTATTCAAAGTGGTAGCACATAACTATAGGTTTGAAATCGCTATAAATACGTGCTTCTAAGTCTATTCAAAGTGCTAGCACATTACTATAGACATGAAACCGCTATAAATACATACTTTGCACTGTATTTAGAGTGGTAGCACATTATTTGAGGCTAAAGAGAAAATCCCTGTTAATATATCTGTTCTCTCAGGGTTTAGGGTAGGACTTTATTTATGTTCTTTACATTTACATGTACATCTAAAACCAGAGGGAATGTAAAAATGTTACCCAATGCAACACATACTGTAAAACAGAAAAAAATCACACTCAATCTAGGATTTTTCAGCAAAGTATTTTTTATTATTATTTTTAGAAATAGTAACATAAATGATCATAATATATAATACAGATCATGTGAGTTTATTTTACATTTTTCATTTTTTATCTATTTTCCAATAATAT